GCTTCGCAGAATCTACCACCGGATCGGAAACGCGACCCACTGAGAAGATCCGGCGAGAAACTCAGTGGGCTGTGTCTGAGGGTTAATTTACTCGTCGAGCCCTTCGTCGCAAGCGACGGTTTCGACGAGAACGATGACCGGTTCTTAAAAGATAAGACGGCCTGCATACTAGTATCGAGCGACGTGACTATGCCAGTGTTCAAATCCTGCAGACGGGTTCCATTTTTATTTATTTATGAAATAGATACATAATTTATATACAAGAAAATCTTCCACGATCTGTATATGTATTTCACGGTGTTATTCTTTTAACATCAATGACATAAAAATAAAACACGCAAAAAATATTGTGTCATTAAAAAAAAAATATTCACTACTGTTCCTACAGTGAAGAGCTCAAATCCTACGACGCTGTTCTTTTATGAGTACCAGGTGAGCCGTAAGCAAGTTCATAAGTCAAGCAATAAAAAAGTACACGCATCGGGATTATGATGACAAAAAAAAACGAAACCTTTCCTGAAATTGTACATAACACTTTTACGACCTCATTTAAAATTATATATATTTTTTCTAAATATAGTTTTTCTACGTTTGCGAATACCGAATAGAATTCGTGACAATCGAAGAATACACCCTTCGACTAGACTGTTTCAACTGATGCGCAAATGACAGCATGGATTACGTCACTAGTTATGGCAAGAGCTCATTACGTGAGTTTACGTAGTCGCCTAGTTTATCTTTTTTTATTTTTATTGCTTAGATGTGTGGACGAGCTCACAGCCCACCTGGTGCTAAGTGGTTACTGGAGCCCATAGACATCTACAACGTAAATGCGCCACCCACCTTGGGATATAAGTTCTAAGGTCTCAGTATAGTTACAACGGCTGCCCCACCCTTCAAACCGAAACGCATTACTGCTTCACGGCAGAAATAGGCCGGGCGGTGATACCTACCCGCGCGGACTCACAAGAGGTTCTACCACCAGTAATAACGCAAATTATAATTTTGCGAGTTTCACTTTTATTACACGATGTTATTCCTTCACCGTGGAAGTCAATCATGAACATTTGTTGAGTACGTATTTCATTAGAAAAATTGGTACCCGCCCGCGGGATTCGAACACCGGTGCATCGCTTCAACACGAAGGCACCGGACGTCTTATCGTTTAGGCCACGACGACTTTATATAAATATTAAAGGAACTTCCATATAAATATTAAGTTATTTTTTTATAATAATATACTCAATAAAAATATAGAAAAATAAATATGTATTTACAGATAAAAATTGTTGAGAACGAAAAAAGAAAATTAACAAAACGTTCACAATTTTTTGAGTACTGAACGCCGAACAACGACGCAGCGTCTGTCGCCTTAGCTACTCAATTACTACATTCATAAAAGACACGCCATATTTCTGCCACTACCAGACGGTGTAAGAATATTGCAGGCTCCTATAGAGATAGTATTATTTTGAAAACAAATCCAATCACTTGAAATTCTTGTAAATTTCTTACTATAATATCAGTATAGATATGCAGACGTAACGCTACTTTAATTCATGACATAGTTTGTTAACACGCTAATCATTTTTACTAGTGGTAGGACTTCTTGTGAGTCCGCACGGGTAGGTACCACCACCCTGCCTATTTCTGCCGTGAAGCAGTACCTAATGCGTTACGGTTTGAAGGGCGGGGCAGCCGTTATAACTATACTGAGACCTTAGAACTCATATCTCAAGATGGGTGGCGGGATTTACGTTGTAGATGTCTATGGGCTTCGGTAACCACTTAACACCAGGTGGGCTGAGACCTCATCCACCCATATATGCAATAAAAAAACATCAATGAACATGTATAAAACTGTTTTGATTAATAAACAAACTATATGCAAAGAAGCAAAAACATAACAAAGATATTGTTCTTTTTCTAGCGTGCTTGTCGGTTGAATTTCTTTGGTTTTTTTTTCTATAGTTTAGTAAATAAGCTTAGCGTTATCATTAAAAAAAATATCGTTAAATATAAATCTTTAGAGAAAAAGTCAATAACGAAATTAAATCAAAAATGTAATACATACAATGGGTCTTAATGTGAAATGTCACTAATTACGGTGAGCAACACTTATAATATTTAGGCAAAGTAATATCAATAAATGTTCCAAGATCGGCTCTTTAATTTAGATCCTAATTAATGTGTCACGGGTTACAGGATCGGATCCAATCTCTTTGTTAAAAATTGTTTGGAATTCAACTTAGTCCCGAATTTTATTGTTAGTGTTTTAATCTATATCAATTTATAATGCTTTGATAAATAATAATTAAAAAATAATATAAAAAATTTTAAGTTGCCCGATTTATAATGATCTCAATGTAAGAGTTTATTTAGGATTGTTATGCTTTGGTTTCTTAGGTGGTTTTGTATCTGTTCGAAATATTTTGTCAGTTTTGTTCGGTATTTTGTTATCGGTCTGTACAATATTATGTCTGTATCTGTTGTGAATCATGCAGCCCAGGACGACTGTAAGTCTAATGAAATTTTAAGTCTAATTGTCTCATAATGGACGCTACCACATAACAACACCGTTCTTATTGACAGAATCACCAGAAAGCATTAATACACAAGCTTTTTAACTGTAATAGCGTGTAGAAGTTCGGATCCAAGATCGACCCATTAAAAATTTCCAATTTCGTAACTAGAATTTTTAACCGAATTTTTTAATATAATTATCTAAAACGTCTACCACTTAATAGTCAAATAAACGTTCAATCAATCAGGCAATGATCTTATATTTCTTAGATAAGAATTGCTCCCGAAAAATTAAGTTAATAAAACTCAAATCATATCTATACTAATATTATAAAGAGGAAAGATTTGTTTGTTTGTTTGTTTCGAATAGGCTCCGAAACTACTGGACCGATTTGAAAAATTCTTTTTCCATTAGAAGCCGACATTGTCCCTGATGAACATAGGCTACTTTTTTTAATTTTTTTTTAATTTTGTTTTTTTGGTTTCATATGTGTTTTAATGTTTCCGAAGCGAAGCGAGGGCGGGTCGCTAGTTATTTATTAAAGCAAGAAGAAAAATATTTTTGTCATTTTCATTCTATTAACATATGAGAAATATGAAAAAACCCATCGTCAGGTATTAAAGAGACATGTATCCCCACAAACTCGACTATTTAATTAAAGCCAACAAGATTGTGAGGCTCTCATTGCCGGTAAGTAGGTCTTATTCATTACGGCGGGTAACGCGTTTCCAATCTGAAATATCCACAAAACCGACAGTGGCTTCGTAAATTGAAGAAATACATATATATAACCTGAATGAATTAAGGACTGCCGAATGGAAGGAATGAATGAAGGACTTATTTCTGACGTGAAGCAGTAATGCGTTTCGGTTTGAAGGGTAGGGCAGCAGGAAGGATGTCTATGGGCCCCAGTAACCACTTAACACCAGGTGGGCTGTGAGCTCGTCCACCCATCTAAGCAATAAAAAATAAAAAAAACGTTTATTTTATAACTCTCCGTCATGGCACAGTCTGGCTGGGGATAACAAGAAAAGGAGAACTGAAGACTTGGTTCAGTGGTGTGAATTGGCAGAGCTGATAATTAAAATGAATTAAAACTATCTTTCGTTCTCTCAAAGCATTGAACTTAAACTATTGAATACACTAATCAAGACAAAAACTAATTAATTATCTGGAGCCTTTCACGAGAAAGTCTAATAAACGTATCGAGTATTAGATAAATAAGTTTCCAATTTAATACACGAACCTCCGTCACTGAAATCCCTTATATCATTTTATCAGTGAAAATATATTATCAAAGGCTTTATCGGCACGGCACTTTGTCACGAATACTGATTAATTTTCAATACAATGACAGTGAAATACACGCAGAATATATATATTATATGAATTATGTATATTAATACAAATATTAAATTATTAAGAACTAAAACAAATAAAATATATATCCGTGAATACTTTCTAGGGTCCACCACCTTCCAGCTTAGTCATGAGACCAATTCGAGTAATGGAGCTGCATGATTTTATTCATATACTTAGTTTATAGGTCCGGGTGCGCTTTGACCTAGAAAACTGAACAGTTTTGTGTAGAACCTATTTAGCAAGTTTTTGTTGTATTATTTAGACGGGCGAGCTTACGGGCTGTAAGGATAGGGATATATATTTACTGCAGCCCGTGTTGTAGCATGAGGTCATAGTCTCAAGCGAATTGTGTATCGGCCTTCGTCATCATAGTCGGTTTCTCTTGGCGGACCAGTCGTGGTCATGTGGAATTCTTGTTTATAAAAGCCTTGAGAGATGTTCTCCATAGTTTGTGAGGCCTGGCGCTTTCGTTAAGTGGGGTTTTAATAAGGTCTTTTACCTGATCAGTCCAGCGCATGAGTCTTCGTTCACGTGATATTTTACCATTGACCCTACTCTTAACACCAAGTTTCTCGATAGACTCTGCTGGCCGTCGCGATACGGGTCCAAAATATCGAAGAAACCTGGATTGCGTTATTGACGACAACCTTTGAGAGATATTAAGTTAAGGATCGAGGCGTTGGTGAGATGTTCAGTCCAAGATATACGGAGCATCTTTCACCAGCATCACATTTCTAATGCATCGATCCTTCTTCTTTCTTGTATCGGCCGTATCCCTCTCTACGAACCGAGACGTATGACTGTTTCACTGCAGAAACCCGCAAGTTACAGGAATCTAACACGTATTTAATACGCTCTAGAACCTAAGCGAGTGCTTCTTATCTTTTATTGGAACGCCAGTCCACCTGTGGCACGCATTGTACTTAATTAAATTTCTATGAACTACTTTGAAACAATACTGAAATGATAAATAGTTACTATATTGCACTAGGCATATACAATGTTGCTATACACATATACACATTAAAAAAAATTACATCTACGAATGACCTTAAGTGTAATCGAAAAATTCATTAAAATCTAATTTAAATGCATGTAAATAATCCTTGCTCACCGCAAACAAAACGGGAACACGTTTCAGCTTTTTCCAGTAGTACGTTTTTCATAACACATATACATACGACAACACGAATTTTAAATGTTAATTTTAATCAACCAAACATACTTTCATAACACTTTCCTTTGAAACGACATTCTTTTTCACATTTTATTTACTGTGCTATTCTACGAAGTCAAAACGGATTATTTTGTTCGATGAGTGTTACGTGTTCTCTGGCTGGGGCGGGCGGCGTACTCTCCCCCCGACGGACCATATAATACTGAAGACTGTAACTATTGAAGCCGCCTCAACCCAATACGTCCCGAGCTCAATACAGGGAATATTTGAAATAACTAATAGAGTAAATAACATTTTCATTTGAGAGCGATGCGCTTTGGTAATTGCGCTCTAGTGCTTTTACGTGTAATTCTGGAGCACTCGCCTAATGCTTTTAGTATTAAATAAAAATTTCAATTTCATATTCCATACTTCTCTGGGTGACCTTATAAATTTTGTTCTTCTACTAATATGATATTAATTAATATATTCTTATCTTTACTAATATATATATCTACAGTGGTTTTTACGGATGTTCCGTTATAACTACTATACCGTGCATTTGATTGACTTGAAACTTTGTATCCATTTTTATTTATTTATCGCTTAGATGAGTAGAAGCCCACTGGCCACCAGCCCACCTGGTTCTAAGTTCTAAAGATCTCAGTATAGTTACAACGGCCGCCCCACCCCTGAAACCGAAACGTATTACTGCTTCACGGCAGAAATAGGCAGGGTGGTGGTACCTACCCGCGCGGACTCACAAGAGGTCCTACCACCAGTAAAAAACTTAGATATTTGTTAGTATATTTTGGTAAGATCAAAACCAATACAATAGGCAGACGCCAGAGAGTCCGTGCTACTCCACACGAACCTTCAATATCAATTATACAAAAGTATCAAAAACAAAAAAATCGCAAGATTTCGGCTACTTTAAATTTTATTTATTACAGACTTGTAATTGTAGCTTTTATTGAAAAAAGAGATCCGTGAAACCTGAATCGCGATATTGACATTTTCAAGTCAGTTGTTATATCTTGAAGCTATGAACAACATTTTTTCGAACCGCCGGCTTTGCAAGGAATATCTTTTTTTTTTTATTGCTTAGATGGTTGGATGAGCTCACAGCCCACCTGGTGATAAGTGGTTACTGGAGCGCATATATATCCACAACGTAAATGCGCCATCCATTTTGAGATATAAGTTCTAAGGTCTCAAATGTAGTTAGTTACATCTGCTCGGTGGAAGCTCGTTCCTTTATTTAACAATTTAAAAAACAGCAATTGAGTTCCAAAAACTTTCCACACAATAAGACTTCAAAGGCTGCTGTGATGTAACATACGGACCAGTTTCAAATGAAAATATCAGCCTTAAGCGCGATACGTTTAAGGCTCGAAATCGTCTGTCGGGTTGGAATGACGCGTTTCCTTAATACAAGTCGTTTACGCATTCATCGACCTTGAAATCGATTGTGTGCAGTACATGCAATGCGAAGCTCAGCTTTTCCCGAGTCACGTTGTCTCAATATCAATTCTCAACGTTTGTATTTGGAGCTTTCAATAGAAAGCTTCACTCGTGAACTTGTATTGGGTGACAAGTGAAAATTTTAAATGTGAATGTTTTTCTTTAAATTTCTTGTCTATATATACATTTATATAAAATTGGAGTGTCTGTTTGTAATATTTAAATTACCGCTTTTTACTACATGCACATAAATATAATATGCCTACAAATACACCAAAATAACATTTGTTGCAATTTTGTCTGTCTGTCTGTTTGTTCCGACTAATCTCTAGAACGGCTGGATCGATTTTGACGGGAATTTCACTGAAAGGGAGCTGATGATATAAGGAGTAACTTAGGCTACGTTTTTTAGACTAGCTTCGCCCCGCGGCGTTACCCGCGGTACGACAATAACCGCGGGTAGCATCGCGGGACTCAGTCAATTAGGTAATAAAGGTGAGCATTCGTAGCGCCACGTACAAATATAATATGTACAAATATAAATTATATTGACGGAAGAAAGGCTATTTGGTTTAGGCGACATTTTCGTAACTTTACAGGAAAGACATATCTATATATTAATACGTGAAGCAGGAACTTTGTACCCCTTTTTACGAAAATTGCGCCAACGGAGGACTATGAAATTTCTCACACTTATAGAGACTATAGGGAAGGAGTGCAGAATACTATTGTTTTTTTTTTAATAATAATCCATAAAAAAATCATTAAAGCAATTAAGAAAACATTACCCACACTACTATGTATTTGACACACACACGCATATACTCTTTTGTATAAATGTTAGTCTGTGGTGAAATTGAGAGTAGAATGATATTGTTTGTCTTTAATATTGTTTGTCTAAAGTGTAGTGGAATTGGCGGAATCAATGACTATAGAAGTATAATAAATATAATAAATAGCCTTTGACAATCGAACCATAATAGTGTCACAAACATATAATTTCAATTAATTATAGTCGATAGTCGATTTCGACTACATTGGGATCACTACTAGTAAAGGTTAAAGTTTGTAAAAAATATCATAACAAAAAACTTCTTCAGCTATTTGAATAGGATAAGCATAGTTGAAATTCAATTAAAAACATCGAATTGTTAATACAAAATATTACGGATTTGCAATTAAAAAGAATAATGTCGCGTGTATGAAGTGAAATGTCACTTAAACCAAATAAACCTTTCACTCCTCGATATGACGTTTTATTTATTTATTGCTTAAATGGGTGGACGAGCTCATAGCCCACCTGGTGTTAAGTGGTTACTGGAGCCCATAGACATCTACAACGTAAATGCGCCACCCACCTTGAGATATGAGTTCTAAGGTCTCAGTATAGTTACAACGGCTGCCACGCCCTTCAAACCGAAACGCATTACTGCTTTACAGCAGAAATAGGCAGGGCGGTGGTACCTACCCGTACGGACTCACAAGAGGTCCTACCACCAGCACCATCAGAAACTAGAGCTTACATAGTACCTTGTCTCAAACCTAATAACTCTGAATGAGATGTACGCACAATACGCCCTTTAAGCCACATAAGCTATCTCATAAAGCTCTCTAAGCTCTCACGAATCACAATATCGAGCAGTGGTGTTATAAAATATTGTATATTTGAAAAACAATTTAAATTTAATTTTCACCCGCATGAAATTTGCAATTCAAAGTAGTACAAACAAGTCGTGTTTTTCCAGGACAAAGAATCGCTTGCTTAACTAAATTACCAGTCGGCTTGTGGACCGTCGGCACGTAAAATCACGAACATACTACTATATTTACGCGTATTTGCGTAATTACTGGTGGTAGGACCTCTTGTGAGTCCGCACGGGTAGGTACCACCACCCTTCCTATTTCTGCCGTGAAGCAGTAATGCGTTTCGGTTTGAAGGGTTGGGCAGCCGTTGTAACTACATTTTAGACTTTAATATAATCTCAAGGTGGGTGGCGCATTTACGTTGTAGATGTCTATGGGCTCCACTTACCAGGTGGGCTGTGAGCTAGTCCACTGACATAAGCAATAACAAAAAAAAAAGGTCACGAGCTGGTTTATCCGTCTCGGTAATTAATAAAAGGAAATCACAACTTCAATATCAAATTACCGAATAATGTAATTATTTTATAAAAAACTTAGAAACTGATGGAGCAATCAAATCAGGCAACATTATTTGAATTGAAGAGTACTAATTTACAAACGCTAATTTACAGATGAGCGAATATGAGAATGTGTATATAATTTTAGAACGGAGAATGGTACTTCTCATTCCTATTTATGAATTATTGATGAACATGACGATGTATAGACGTGAATTTGCGATATCTGTTTTATATGCAGAGGGAAGATGCTGTAATGTATGATTGCGAATTGAGCAAAAAGACTTGAATAGTAATACCGAATCAATTGTTCGGTAGTCAACAAGCGTGTTTGTATTCACGTTGTCAATCAAATCTGTGATCATATCGGCCACAATATCTTCGTTCGATAATCAATTTCTGAAACTGTCAGCAATTTAGACCGATATTCAGTTCATAAGAAAACCAATTATCTATATATTAATACGTGAAGCAAAAACTTTGTATCCCTTTTTACGAAAATTGCGCAGACGGAGCAGTATGANAAAAAATATTGTATATTTGAAAAACAATTTAGATTTAATTTTCACCCGCATGAAATTTGTAATTCAAAGTAGTACAAACAAGTCGTGTTTTTCCGGGACAAAGAATCGCTTGCTTAACTAAATTACCAGTCGGATTGTGGACCGTCGGCACGTAAAATCACGGACATACTGCTATATTTACGCGTATTTGCGTAATTACTGGTGGTAGGACCTCTTGTGAGTCCGCACGGGTAGGTACCACCGCCCTGTCTATTTCTGCCGTGAAGCAGTAATGCGTTTCGGTTTGAAGGGTTGGGCAGCCGTTGTAACTACATTTTAGACTTTAATATAATCTCAAGGTGGGTGGCGCATTTACGTTGTAGATGTCTATGGGCTCCACTTACCAGGTGGGCTGTGAGCTAGTCCACTGACATAAGCAATAACAAAAAAAAAAGGTCACGAGCTGGTTTATCCGTCTCGGTAATTAATAAAAGGAAATCACAACTTCAATATCAAATTACCGAATAATGTAATTATTTTATAAAAAACTTAGAAACTGATGGAGCAATCAAATCAGGCAACATTATTTGAATTGAAGAGTACTAATTTACAAACGCTAATTTACAGATGAGCGAATATGAGAATGTGTATATAATTTTAGAACGGAGAATGGTACTTCTCATTCCTATTTATGAATTATTGATGAACATGACGATGTATAGACGTGAATTTGCGATATCTGTTTTATATGCAGAGGGAAGATGCTGTAATGTATGATTGCGAATTGAGCAAAAAGACTTGAATAGTAATACCGAATCAATTGTTCGGTAGTCAACAAGCGTGTTTGTATTCACGTTGTCAATCAAATCTGTGATCATATCGGCCACAATATCTTCGTTCGATAATCAATTTCTGAAACTGTCAGCAATTTAGACCGATATTCAGTTCATAAGAAAACCAATTATCTATATATTAATACGTGAAGCAAAAACTTTGTATCCCTTTTTACGAAAATTGCGCAGACGGAGCAGTATGAAATTTTCCACATTTATAGAGAACTAGCGACCCGCC